CTTTTAGTCCACTGGAATTTGCACTGTGTATCTACGAGTGTGTATATAAAGCTCAAAAGTAAATTAATTCCTGTATTTAGGATAAAAAAAAAATGAAGCATGTCATATTCCAGAAACTGGCTGGGCCTGGAACTTGGCACAGAAGATATAGTTAGCAGTTTGTAAGCTTTGAAGTGAAAGTCTCCCCTCCTCTTTTACTAGCAATGAAAAAATCTTTAAAGGAAAGGCACAAGAGTGGGTGAGGAGTATTTTTCCATGGTGAGCTACGTAATGTCTTTGGTGTAATTCCCTCTTTAGACAGCTAGCTGCCTTATGCTGGCACTACCAGGCTACGTCTTACACTAACCCCAGCCCAGAGAATGCAATCAGCTGTGGATATTTTCAGTGGACCATTTCCTCCTATCATATCCAGCATAAGCTAAAATGTTGTAATGGAATAACAGATATTTAAAGCAGTGGTTCTCAAAATTTAAAGTATCACCTAGAAATATATTAAAATTCAGGTGCTGAGGCTTCATGCCCAGAGAGTCTATCTAATTCTACATATGTGTGTGTGGGGGGGGGCGCAAAGGTATGTGTGTGTATGAGAGAGAGAGAAAGAGAGAGAGAGAATTGCATGCGTTTTTTTGGGGGGGTGGGGAGATTTCATTTTAACAAGCAGCCCAGGTGATTACAATATAGGTGATCAATTGACCTTACTGAGAAACATTTCATCTTGAACTTTCAAAATGTTAAAATTCTTTGGCCCCTGAAAATTGGGAGTTTAAATCACAGCAATATATTCCTATATATAAAAAGCATTCATCATCCCAAGAAAAAGAAGAGCATAAAAGTTTTCCAACTTCGGACTTCCCATGGGATATCTCTTGATATCTTCTTTGCAATTCTTTAAGGTAATTAGAGTGGGTGATCTTATCCTGACTTTGTTGATTAGGAAATTAGCACAGGTTAAGCAATTGCCCAAGGCTGTGTGGCTCTGGCTGGGGCATAAGCCAGGCCTCCTGACCTTTGAGAGCAGAGGTCAAGTCAGATGGACCCCCTCAGATACTCCTGAAGTCAGAAACCCTGGGAAATGCATGAAATATAT